TTTCTCCAGCTTCTGCTAAAACGTAATAAAAGCTCTGTGTACGTTTTTACATATTTTTACATATCTGTCAATTTTGCACACCGTGCTTTTAAAAATTTGATATTTGTTAATTGGAAGATTTTTGGCAATTAAAAGTTCCTTAAATGTAATATATTTATGATGAGAAGGTACTTTTGTTGTACGTACATATCTGTGTTCGTATGGAACAGTAGCTTATGTCGGCAAGCTGGCTTTAGTATAATGCGGCATTCCCAGCACACGATTGCGAATGGCTCACTGGCGCCGAGCCGTTGATAAACTTTTGGCAAATAAACGTGCATAAATATTTCCGATACCAGCAAGTCAATATTCTTATTAAGTCTAATCAAAAAATTTTTTGTCGTTTAAAGAATGAAGGGAATGCCGCATTATACTAAAGCCAGCTTGCCGACATAAGCTACTATTCCATACGAACACAGATATGTATGTCTATACGAACATACAGTGACGGGCAAAACTGTAACATGGTGTAACAATTTTTACTTCAGCCATCGCTGACTTTCCAAGTTCTAACGACTTTCATACTTTTGTTGTATATTCTTATTGGTACACCTGTACTTCCTCTCTCATAATGATTTGAATTCAATACAACAACAATAATAAAACCAGCACACAAAAATGTAAATTAATGCAAATGTTACAGTTTTGCACTCATATTTTTTAGAACTTTTTTTACAATTTTCACGGAAAAAAGAACTGTTAACACAATGTTCAGTACCCTTTTGTTTTTTTAGTTCCTGGATGCGATTTGGCATACCCTGTTTGTATATCTGTAAAACTTCTGGAGGTATATCCTCCCATATATCCTTAGTTTGCTTTCACAGCTCATGTATTCCACTGTACGGACTTGGATACTTAGTAAGCTGTGCTTTTAGTTGATTTCGCGAATTCTCGATGAGATTCATATCCGCTAATTGCGGAGGTCATTTCAAATTAGCAAAATTTTGCTTTTGTATCCAGTCCTTGCGAACATGAACACATGATGCGCTTAGGCTTAATTTGGGTCTTTGATCCAATACCATGCCCGGCCATCTGATTGAAAGAGATTAACTTAGTCTTGTCAGACAAACGAACCTTCAATTAAATCTTAAAAATGTGTTGTTTTTTTTGCATCTGTAAGCCCTAACATATCCCAATAGGCATCGGTCCGGTTTTCGTACGATCCGGCAAAATGCTACCACACTCGCACAAGTATTTTGATCAAAATGTTTTTTTTTCTTCTTTTATTATGCCTTTGCGCTCAATTTAGCAATTCTTCGCCTCGCTGTCTACTGATTGGCATTAAAGTTTAATACCGTAAGCGCTTCTGTAATAGTAGTTGCGTTTTTTTACTCATTGCCAGTAAAATCCAGTAAAAGTTTTTACGAATTTTCATGTTTTGGCGTTTTCGTACGCAAAAACTTGCGAAGTAGGGGAAATTGAGAGAGCGAAATATGACAGTTGAAGTTGCAAGTTTTTACTGGATTTTACTGGATAAATTTTTACTGAATTTGCCAGTACGAAAAACAGCTGATCGCATGTTTTTGGATGAAATTTAAACTAATAAGGAAACTGTTTGTGGGTTTTTATTGTTGAATTTTCCAATATAAACCTATTTAAATACAAAATATATTGTTTTATTAGGAAAAATTTTTTCTATGAGAGCGAATTCTTAGAAATAAAGTTACTGGAGAGTTGCTGGCAAGTTACTGGATAATTTGTAAAAAAAAAAAACACAACTAGTGTTTGCATCGCAACTTGCTGCTAAGCTCACAAGATATCGGACCGTAATATTTTTTGACAGACTTCCTTTTTCCCAGTCTTTACATTTTCAAATAGCAACCTCCACAATTGTTTGCCATTTTTATTACGGTCTTGCCTTTCCACAGTAAATCTATTATTTACATTTATGGTTCCTGATTAACCATATTATTTACTGGTGATCACTTCTTCAATAAATTACAATACAGAAAAAAGTCGTCTGACTTCCAACTAAGTAAAAGATAACTGTAAAATGCAAAACTGAGAGTGAGTGCAAAACTGTAACATTTGCCTTAATTCACATTTTTGTCCGCTGATTTTTTTTATTGTTGTTGTATTGACTTCAAATCGTTATGATAGAGGAAGTAGGGGTGTACCAACAAGAATATAGTTACAACAAAAGGATGAATGTCATTAGAACTACGAAATGTAGCGGTGGCTGAATAAAAAAGTGTTACACCACGTTACAGTTTTGCTCGTCACTGTATCTGTATTCGTATGGAATAGTAGCTTATGTCGGGAAGCTGGCTTTAGTATAATGCGGCATTCCTTTTATTCTTTAAACGACAAGGAATTTTTGATGAAACTTAATAGAAATATTGACTTGCTAGTATCGGAAATATTTATTGCACGTTTATTAGCCAAAAGTTCTTCAACGGCTTGGCACCAGTAAGTCATTTGCAATCGTATGCTGCGAATGCCGCATTATACTAAAGCCAGCCTTTCGACATAAGCTACTATTCCATACGAAAACAGATATACACATGCTATTGAATAATTTATTAAAACGCAATGACAAAGAATTACTTAACTGCGTACAAATAATATCCCTTCGTAGCGTAGGCCTGGCTCCTAATGGTTTGCATTTAATTATCCACGAATTTTACATTTATTCAAAACAAGCTTTATTAGCAATGGCCAAAGTATTTATACATATACATAGTGCAAAACGAAAAGTTTACGGACTGATAAAAATAAATTAACCAGAGGAAAAATAGAAACAAAAGAAAGCAAATTGCACGCACTTACTTTCTCTCTAGACTAAATTCCAAAAATTAATGCTCGTCCTCCCGTTTTTCTACTTTTCAAAGAACAACCAAACACAATTTTGTATTTAATATAAATCTAGAATTAGAACTTATTATATTTGCTAAAGTTTTCAGTCGCCACAGTTGTTTTGATGATCTTTGCCATCTATATGCTTATTCTTTTTGTTTGCCTTTTGATGTTCTTGTCCCCTTTGTTAACAAAGAGTTGCCAAAGCGAATTATGTTAGTGGAAGCTCTACACAGTTAACCAAGATTTACACGACTGTAAGATTTTAAAGATTTCAAAAATCTAGACTTAAATTTATAGTGGTATTTACAATACTACCTTACCGACATTAACTTAGCATTTCACTGCCAAATCATAGATTTCTGAAGAACAACACAGAAACATAAAAATGCAAAAATATTGCAAAAATTGCTTATGCAATATGCATCAAAACTTGCGGCTTAAGCTTGATATACAGTTCAATGCGAGCGTGAGCGTGAACGTTCACAAAGGCAAATTAACTGTCTTCGAAAAATCAAAGACAGTGACGAACACAATGAGAGTAGTGTGAATGAATTAGTGAAAAAGTGTGAATGTGTTGCTATTGTATTGGCAAAATTGTCCCATGTAAGCGCCGTGTAAATGAGCAGATGACCCCTGTCATTTTCGGGTAGGATCAGTGCAAAATTTATTTATTTATTAATTGACAGTCTTTAAGACCTATAAAAAATCTTGTCTAACCTGTGCCCATTTAGAATGAGAATACCATGAACCAAAAATACAAGATCACGCCAGCAAGCCAGTAGCCCGTTATAATCGCATTTAGGAAAACAGTTCGGCGATTTTGACATTAGCCGTTTGTTTACATTTGTTCGTTGCTTATAATTTGGTGGTGACTTTTTACTGGATTTCCTTCATTTTCGCTTATGACAACGTGTGTACACATAAGGTAAAGAATAATTTAACACAACGACATGGTTTATAGAAGAATTTGTATAATAAAAATGATAATTCATGCGTTCAAAAATTACGCCGTTTTCTTCGTTCTCTTCGTTCTTTACTTCTTCCAACAAAGATAGCGTCGAGATTTCGACAGCTAGAAAATTATTATTTTCTTTCTTTCGTTCGCGCGTGATCTTGTGTTTTTCGTCCGTGGGAGAATACCACAAAATCAGTTTCGTTCCTCAACTTTTCTGGATAAACTTGTAAAACTGTCAAAAAGCAAAATTTCTCTCAGATAGTGAAAAACCAAAAAGTACGGGAACGTTTTTTCGGGTAAAAACTGATATCGTATAGGCAATTAACTGTGCCCTAATCTTTGAAGCTCCTACAGCATAAATTAAGTTCTCTGGCTTTCGGTATCACGGCAATTTTATGTGTATAGCAACAATTGTCTAAAATTTTTGTATATGACAACACCGAATTTGCTGCAGTTTGACCAAACAAAATTAGTTTGCTGTGAGAGTCGCCAAACTTGCTCTCTCCGAGTTTGCTGCAACAACAATTGCACGCAGTTTGCCAAACAAAATTTCTGCATAACACCGACCTAAATTGCTCTGGCTTCTGGATATTGCGTACGCGAACACGGCTTATATTGCGATAGTGAAATGGATTTATCGATATTTGGTAAAAAATAAAATAAACCGACAGTAGTGGTACATCTCTGATTGTTGTTTGTTGTTTTTGGTTGTTTGTAAAGTAAAAGATGTTTTAGAGGAGTAAAGTGTTTATTAGTCCTATTTTTAATTATTTTTAATCAAAGATAATATGGAATTACAAAAGCCAAGTAAAACCAGTTTATTGAAGTTGATGATTTTGCGCGCTTGGCGCGAACGCTGGAATGTAGCCCTCTGGGGAATCAACATTAAACGGGTGAGCAACGAAATAACAAATTAAGTAGTAATTTCCAAGAGATAAAATATGTGTTTTAATGTTAGATTTTCGAGAAAACAATTGAAATATTTGTTCTTAACGTGATTTTGAAATTTCGAGTCCTAAAAATTTTAACTCAATAATNGGAATGTAGCCCTCTGGGGAATCAACATTAAACGGGTGAGCAACGAAATAAATTAAGTAGTAATTTCCAAGAGATAAAATATGTGTTTTAATGTTAGATTTTCGAGAAAACAATTGAAATATTTGTTCTTAACATGATTTTGAAATTTCGAGTTCCTAAAAATTTTAACTCAATAACNTTGTATACTGGTATATGTAGCTGTCTTCTTCGTTAGTTTTCCAATACCCTGGCATTTTCTACAAAGTTCCGGTTTGCTCCGATTGATTAGTTGTGGCGATTTACCGTTGCATGCTGGACATTTTTTCAGGAAGCGTAAATCAATGTTCTTTTTTAAGCCATGCGCAGCTTCCAAAAATGTAAGCTCCAATCGGGGCTCACCCGTCGTCATTTCGATTAGCTCTTAGATATGCAATATTATAAAATTATAATCTTATCTGTTTTACAGCATTTACCTTCTCGAGTTGTAGGCAGAACAACCTCACCCTTGCGATTGGGAACTGCTGTGCCCATGTTGTTGAATTTGTGAAGAAAGTTTTGTTCATCTTTTACCATGCCAAGTTGATCGTACTCCATACGTTTAGTTTCGTCAGTGAGAATGTGATAGGCATTTGAAATATCTTGAAAGCGTTTAGACTCATAGGGGGGTGAATTTCCTGGAAATTAGAGGTATTTCCATAAAAATTATACTATATTAAATGTTAGTTTAATACTAATTAAGATCGGATAATAAAAATAGGGAAACAGATCTATTGAACAGATCAAGTTGTTGGTTATTACTTAAAAGCAATACGTTTAGCACAACCAAACAAAGATCGAACTTAAGTTGAGAGACACTATGGACATAATTTTTCAAGGTTGCTACCTGCGTCTGGATGAAAGCGTTTTGCAAGTGCATAATAAGCCGCTTTTATTTGTTGCATTGTTGCGTACCGCTTTACACCAAGTATTTTGT